ATACATGGATTTAGATCTTGCTATACATATTTAGGAAAATCTATGCATTAAAAATTAGCCAGCTTTGCCGCAGATAAAAATAAACGAAGTCAGTATTACGGATTACAAGTACACTGTGGTGTGTGTTTTTTATCCTCGTCCATCCAATACTAACGCACGTAAGTCCGAAACGATAGTCTATCATTTTGGTACGATACTGGTATGATATCATTTGTGCAGTGTATGTGTTGTTCACTGATTGGCTTAGAGATAGCAACTAGTTTGTGAACTAAGTACCAAAAAATATTTACTTTGGAATTTCTGCTTCTACCACTCAAACCTCTTCGGTTAGCTCTTCCCCTACAGCTTCCTTCGCTCTACACTTCTAATATGTTGTGAGCCCAACGACAATCATGACCTCCGCGCACGATGTATCAGCCAGGGTGGCCATTGATAAGTTCAACGGCGACAACTACGCGACGTGGAGCCGTTACATGCTTGGCGTGTTCCTCACCAAGACAGTATGGCATGTCGTGAACCGTGAAGTCTCCCTACGCTTGCGGATATTCGTGCATCGAAAGAAGACGCGAGAACGAGTAACATCAAGACGCTATACGGCGGGTCACAGAATGCTGGTCAAATCAACTTGAAGCGACAACTCTTTAGCCTGGAAATGGCCGAAGGTGGGAAAGTTCTGCATCACTGCAACGAGATTCTCAATATCAGCGCGAAGCTTAGTAGCATCGGCGCCAAGATGGAAGACGAGGATGTTGCAATCTGCCTACTACGCAGCCTACCCAAGAGCTACGAAAATGTTGTACTAAATCTGGAAATCAGCAACACTGAGCTCAGAATGCAGGATGTGTCGAAGGTGATGACAAACGAGCATATCAAGAGGCAGCTCGAAGGCTAGTGTGATCAAGAAGGAAGATAAAGCGAAGGCGTTTAGTGCAAAGCGTGAGCCTCGCCAGTGCACGTAAATTGGGGCATACGACGTAGCGGTGCTGGACCAAGCAGACAGATTACAACAGAGGCACTCGACGCGGCGGCCAAGCTCGTGGACGCGGAGCCAATAACGTTCATTATCGACCTAACGATTAATATGATTATGATCGCGTTGCGTTTACGGTCTCATTGGAATGTGGATTTTTGACTGGAAACGGGACATCTGGAATGTGGGCAATTCGGCAGCGGTGCAACGCATCTTATATGCAACGACAATGACAAATTTGTTTTGCTGAACGAATGTGAAGAAGGCGAGCTATCGGTTGCCGACGGTAACAAAGCCGAAATTAATGGTGTGGGGACCATCATTGAGCGTGTTGTACTGCCTGGTGGTGACGAGCAAGACATCGAGATCAAGGGAGCGCTATTAGTACCGAAGATGAACAAGAACTTGCTCTCAGCGCCACAAATTAACAAGAGTAGTAACATTTTAAGTCGTGTTTGACGGCTCGCGGATGTAAATTGCGCGCAAATTTTTGCAGCAAGTTGTAGCAACCGCTGATCTCGTCGACGGGCTCTATGGCTTCGAACGACACAGTTTTCTGCAAATTCATACCGCCAACACGCAGCATTGATCTACATGCACGAATGGGGTATGCCCCAGATGATGTATTACGCAAGTTGATTCACAGCGGTATGATCAAGGATGGAAAGTTACTTCTAAGATCATACTCTCAAAACATGTGTCGTGGGTGTCAAAAAGGCAAGATGGTCCAGAAACCTTTTTCAAGCAATAATGACAAACGCCGCTACGAAGCGTTTGAGCTTCTACATTTTGACATTTGCGGTCCTATGGAGCAATCCTCATTGAATGGTAGCAGATACTTGCTCCTCATTGTTGAAGAAGCAAGTGGGTGCATGAAAGGATTTTGCTTGTGTGCCGAGTCTAAGTCAGACGATTGCATAACAAGCTACATTCTCAAGGTTCAAACCCAGTTCGGTAAACAAGTCAAATTCGTACGACACGATGGAGCTCAAGAACTCGCAGCACATTCTCTCAAGACATTCTATAGTAATCAAGGTATCGAGCAACAAATAACAGTGCCGTATGCGCATCAAACCGACGCTAAAGCGGAGCGCGCAATCAGAACAATTGTCACCATCGGACGTAGCATGTTATATCACGCCAAACTAGACAAATGTTTTTGGGGTGATGCAGCAATGACGGCTATTTACATCAAGAACCAACTGTAATCACCCAAGATCGATCACAAAACTCCGTTTGAAATTGTTAACAAGACCAAGCCAAGCGTAAAGCACATGCGTATCTTTGGCTGCAGGACGTTTACGCTTGTCCCAAAAGAGAAGCGGCTTAAGTGGGATCCAAAGTCTCGTGCCGATATTTTTCTAGGATACGAGGAGGTATCTAAGGCCTATCGAGTGTTCGATATTGAGGCGGGATGAGTCGTGATTAGCCGTGATGTAAACTTTGATGATTCGAACTTTGGCTTAGATGCTATAAGTGGTAGCGAATCTGATAGTGATGATGATGGTATCAACCTTGACTCGCTAAGCATTTGAAAGCGTACACTACCCGACAAATTTCAAACTAACAGGAAAACGCAAGAAGATTTCGTACACAGGGAACACAAGCCAATACATCACAACAGGTCGACGTAATCAAGTTGGACTTGAAGAAGCAGGTGCACCTGAAGACTTTAGCGAACGACGAGCTAAGCGTCGGTCGGTTGAACGTATGGCTTCTAATCACACAAGTGAAAATAAAACAGCACCTCCCGTGTTCTGGCGAGCTAGTGCCAACTTGATTGAAGTCGATGACCTTTCGGATACAACAACATATCAAGATGCTGTCAACGGATCAGACCAAATTCATTGGCGCAAGGCGATCTGTGCGGAGCTGGATTCTATGAAACTTCGTGGTATTTTTCGTGCTGCCAAGCTCCCAACTGGACATCAAGCCATTGAACTCAGTGAGTGTTCAAAATAAAACGCAAAGCGGACGGATCGATTCAAAAATACAAGGCACGCATCGCCGCAAAATGCTTCAAACAGCAATATGGCTCCAGCTACACCGAGACTTTTGCGCCTGTAGTCAAGTTTGTTACGCTACGAATGGTGATCAGCTTATCAAGACACTTTGGCTGGCCGCTGGATCAGATGGATGTTGTTACGGTTTACTCTATGAAGTTATGAAAGAAGTCGTCTATTGTATCATACCAGAAGGAGTGAAGATCAATGGATATTTTGATTGCTTAGAGCTAGTTAATGCAATTTACGGCCTTAAACAAGCTTCTCGCGTATGGAATAAAACGTTTGACACTTTTTTATACTCTATTGGGTTTCAAGTCTCAGCATTTGATCTGTGCCTATACATCAAGTGTGCGAATGAACAATGTGTTTTTTTGCTTTACGTCGACGATGTCCTGGTCACTGATAGCTCGCTTGAACTTATTGCGCTAACTAAAAACGAACTCAAGGCTCGTTCTAAGATGACGGATTGCGGCCAGTGTGAATTCCTTTTGGGCATTGAAGTCGTGGATAACGTTGACGGCAGTGTAACATTATGCCAACGCCGCTACATTGGCGACATTCTCAAGCGCTTTGGCATGATGGACTGCAAAGCTGTGGTTGGTCCAATGAATTTAAACACTCAACTTACTTCAAGCAGTGCAACCACCAATATTGAAGCACCATTTCGCGAAACTGTGGGTACCCTTATGCACTTGATAACAGCGACACGCTCGGATATTGCGTTAAAGAGAATTTCTCGCTATCTACAAGGGACTAAGTCGTTTGATATATATTTCAACCCGGCAACAAGGTTAACTTCTATGGATATTCAGCTGCAGACTGGGCTGGTGATCATGCCGATCGAAAGTCGACTATCAGCTACGCATTTTCTCTGATGGGCGCTCCAATAAGCTGGGGTAGCTAAAAATAATTAAGCGTATCTTTGTCGACAAGCGAAGCGGAATACATTGCTTTGAGTATGGTTGTTTAAGAAGGCAAATGGATTCATCGTTTACTAAGCGAGATCTAGCAGCGGCTAGCCAACAAGGACCAGAGCTCATGATTTTTGAAGATAATCACTTGTGCATTAAGATGACAAAAACCCTGTCAATCATGGTCGTGCCAAGCATATTGACATCAAGTATCACCACATTCGTGATGA